TATGTTTGCCGATGACTGCACAATGTTCAGCATCATTCACAACTCCTGAGATACTGAAACAGTCCATGTTCAAATGCATCAAGATCTGGACATTCTCCATTCTTGGGATGTCAAGTAGCAAGTAATATTTGCGCCACACAAATGCCAGGCAATGACCATCTCCAATAAGAGATAACCTTACCATTATCCCTTGACATTCAATGGTGCTACCATCACCGAATTTTCCACTATCAACATCCTGATGGTCACCTATAACCAGAAACTCAACTGGACTTGCAACATAAACACAGTGGCTACAAGAGCAGATCAGCGGCTAGGAATACTGCGATGAGTAACTCATTTCCTAATTCTCCAAACCTTGTCCACCATCAACATGGCACAGGTCAGAAGTGTGTTGGAATACTTCCCACTTGCCTGGATAAGTGCAACTCCAACAATACTTAAGAAGCTTAACACCATCCAGGACAAAGCAGCACACTTAATTGACACCACATCCACAAGCATTCATCCCCTCCACCATCAACACTTAGTAGCAGCAGTGTGTACTATCTACAAGATGCAATGCAGAAATTCACCAAAGATCCTTAGACAGCACCTTCAAAACCCACAACCACTTCCATCTAGAAGGATAAGGGCAGCGAATACATGAGAACACTGCCACCTTCAAGTTCCCTTCCAAGCCACTCACCATCTGACTTGGAAATATATCGCCCCATTCCTTCACTGTCACTTGGAAAATCTTGGAATTCCTTCCCTAAGAGCAATGTAGGACAACCTACAGCACATGGACCACAGCGGTTCAGGAAGGCAGTTCATTACCATCTTTTCCAGGGTAACTTGGGACAAGCAATAAATGCTGGTCAGCCAGTGATGCCTACATTTCACAAGTGAATAAAAAGGAAGAATTGCTGTCCTCATAAAGGGTAAAGAGCTGAATGACAGGCAGTACACCACCCATCTTGACTCTTTCTGCCCTATTGTGAGCTGTAGACCTCCTAATGAAACACTTGCAGGTATTTTAGGAGATGAAAGTGGGTAGTGCAGTTGTCATTTTGGTGCAGGCAGGGAGGTGTCCCATGAGAGTGAGAAGGCAGTGCAGATAGCATTCGGAGTTAGTGGTGTTGCAATTTCACGTGGGTGAGAGTGAGTGGGGAAGATATTGCAGGCAATCGTGAGACTGATGACATGAGCCTTGACAGGAGATGGTACAGTAGTAGAGACACAGTGAGTGGAAGTATTGGAGAGAAGATGGTTGCACTTGCACTGGCAGTGTGGAGGAGAACATTGACCTTCTTCCTACAGTACTTGGCATTCTTCCAGACTGCTGAGACTGCTCTAACCCCATGTCAACCTTATTCCAGGCAGGCATAGTCTGGTGTCATGGCCTCCACCCTGGGGAAAATGGATGCCATACCTGTGTACCACCTCATCCAGCTGGACCTCTAGGACATGCCTTTAAAGTAGGGTGCTGATTTCCCACTTTTGGCCATGTCCAGGGCGAATGCCAGAAACTGTGCAGGGCAGCTCCTGACTGATAGTATTTATTTGAGTGCACAATGTTGATATGGTGCCAGCGTTAAAGATACTGGTCAATTCTGGGACTTTTGGTCAGTGACCAGCTGCTCCACAAATGATGCATCGTAAGGTGGGGTGAAAATCAGACATGATACTCACCATAATGGCTGAAATGTTAATTAATGCAGTGATTTTGGGAAGGAACAGTGAAGAAACTCATGTAGCCTCACAGATATAATCACTCTACCAAATTCGACACGTCCTGAAAAAAAATAAGATTCAGCTCTTTATCTTTAATCTGCTCTTTTGGAGGGCTCCAGAATGAAGGGAATTGGCCTTTGGAATTCAACTTCCCAGACATTTCCCAGGGAGTCAGTTTCATCCAGAATTTCACATATGCACCTCTAATTTATACCACGCTAACAAATCTCCAGCCATAAGAATATCCAGGCCACAAATTCTAACTTGAAGAGACAATGAAATTTGTCAACTTGATATTAAGTATACTTAATTCTATGCAGGTAATGGACATTAACTGGAAATTTACTTTTGTCTCTGTATACAGGCACAGACTGAGCCTGTTGGTTGTTGGGGTTAGGAAGTTATGCTTGTGATATGGAACTCTGTAATGACACGAGTATTATAGTGTATAAACATTGGTTCCAGCTGTATCCTGGAATATACCATGTTGTTTCCTTACAATTCATAGGTTTGAATTTCCAGCTGTATGAATCCTGATTTACCCAGACCTTCACTGCGCTGATACTGGAAAAGCAGATGCATTAAAATAAGGATTACTCAACCTGATAGTAATAACTTTTTTCCAAAAACAACGTGTGTTGATTTATAACCAGCCCAATTCAAAGATTTTAGGATATTCCCTGAAAATACTTCTTAGAGATTATAAAGTATCTGTATTACCTGATTGTGGAGGACAACTTAATGATCTAATAAAATAAAACAAATAACTGTGGGTGCTGGAAACCTGAAGTGAAAAACAGAACATACTGGAGGAACTCTGCAGGTCTGGCAGTTTCTGTGGAACGACAAGCAGAGTTAATGTTTAAACACTAGTAACACTTCATCAGATGAAGGGTCACTGGACTTGAAACATTAACTTTGTTTTCTCTCCACAGATACTGAGACCTGCTGAGTTTCTCCAACACTTTCTGCTTTTGTTAATAAACCATTGTCCATTTTTAAATTTTATACCACTCCCCCCATGAATATAATAAAATTAGTCAGCCTATACTTATGAGAAAAGCATTCAACCTAATCCAAAGCAATCACCATATTACAATCTTCCAGACATGCATCTTTCAGATTATTTTCATGAAATTATGGATTCTGAAATATTGAACAAAATTAGAAATTTATAACCTTTCCAGAGTGAAAGACAAAATAACATTAGTTGTAAAAATAAATTAATATTGAGAGAAGTGATTTTGAACATTGAGGATTTCTGCATGGTCTAAAGTTGCATTTAGGCGATACTTAATAAAAGTTAAACATTTCCAATTGCTATGGAGCACAGTAAATTGAGTGAACAGATATTTATGAATGTACACACGACATACTCATGCTGGTTAGCTTTAAAGGAACATGCAAAAGTTAAGAGATTTTTCAGTAATTATCTTGAGGAGGGACATATTTTAAGTAAATACAGACAAAATACCTTTGGGAAAAAGCACTGCCATGCATAGGTGCATTATAAGGTAATTTACCTTACTAACATTGGACTTTGAGTAGTGAATGCTCATTATGATAACCATTACTACCAATTTCCAGGCTGCAACAAAATGTTTACACTACATGGATAAGCAGAAAAAAGAGTTTTAGGTTTTCAATGAAGATTTTTTTTGAGAAATAAATGAAGCAAAATGAAAAATAAAATCTCAAATAAAAGCAAAATATTGTGAATGCAAAAAAATTGAATCTGAAAGTGTTGGAGAATGTCAGCAGATCTGACAGCATTTGTGGAGAGAGAAACAGACCTTAATGTTTTAAATCCAAAATGACTTTTTCAGAATGGACTCAAAACGTGAACTCTTTCTCTCCACAGATGTTGTCACACCTGCAAATGAAACCTGTTATGTTGCTAGTTATTTCACATTCATCTCAAAACAAAAATAAATTATACATCTTCCAATTCTGGATCTGCAATATAATCCTATATTAAAAGGTATCTAAGTAGACTTTAGGTGCACTGCAGCAATTTGTATCGAGGGCTATTTTATAATACTAAGCAGTTAATGTTTATATTCAGCTTAATCTATCTTGTAAGCAAATAATTCAAAGCAGTTATGCAAATAATATTTTTCTTTGATTTCTTTCACTCTAAAAATTGTGATCATTAAGTGTTATTCAAATTATTCTATTTATATATACAAATATAGTTTCACCCAGGTGTTGATATAACACACAAGTATAACTTGCTTTATAGCCTATTACCTTGTCAGGTTTACAAACTTAACCCCCAAGGTCACTCAGTATGAAAAAATTTCTTACGTTTTCATGGGGTATTCTCAACACTACAGAAATACAAGAAATGAGAATATTGTTAAAATGCACAGGAAATATTAAAAGCAGCACATATTTTGCTGAGGACAAAAGCAATGTGCAAATTTTATATTGCACATGTGAATTTTATAACAGAAAAAAGCATTTTTTTAAAAAAAATTGAAATTACAAAGGAGATATGACAATATTTCTCTGAGTGCAATATTGATTAACAGCCCTAACCAAAAGCAATAATGATCACTTAAAAAAAAACTGAAAAAAATGTGGAAAGGGTATCAATGGTTATCACAAAGTAAAATGCCAAGTCCCTGAGACAGAGGAACTGTAGAGAAGAAAAGGAACGTACAGGATTTAGAGACAAATAGAAAATGAACAGCAAAATTTAGTTCTATCCTCTATTTACAAAGATATAGCAGGGGAAATCTTCAGAGAAACAAAAGACTATAAAGAATCAAGTGGGAGAATATGATGTCTAGAAAGACCACTATGTTTGTTCAACACAAGGAAAAAGTCTTGTCCGTTCAAAATTAGAGTTGCAAATCATTAGCAAACTTGCTAGTCAGCTGTTCGTGGACAATGATGTTTGACCTATGTGACCCAATTTATGAAACTGACAAAAGGAGCACCAAGTTCATTGACAGTAGCTATAGAAATGTGTGTTCCGTCAGTACGTTTTCACAACAGATTGAAATTTGGGAAACAAATTTGTTTCTTGTAATACACTGAGGTGCATTTTGTGTGTCTTTCCCCAATACTGACTTTCCTCCAATTAGCTCCAAATTGAAGTGAAAAATTATTTGCAAACCTGATTTTGTTTATAAATGCTACAAATATATCAAGGCCTGTATTTTCAGAACAATTACTAATGACAATTAGGTGTTAAGAATTCCTTGTGTTTCAAAAATATACAAAAATTATAGGAACATTCAGAAACCAGTAGAGACTTTGTTTTAAAATCTACTCACTCATCATAAACGTCCTCTGTATCCATCCGCCGATAGAATTTGGCTAGTTTCACAGCAATTATAATACTTGGTATTAAAAATACTGTACAGCATCCAAGGCCGAACCAAAAACCATTCTAAAGTAAGCCATGAGAAAAGAAAATACAGGAATCAGTCATTCAGTCAAAAGCTTAACTAAACATAACGTAAAAAAAGCAGTATTGCATCACACAATTGGTGGAAATATTTTTACCAGGGAATCCAGTATAAAACCGCACAGTATCATATCAGCTGCATCCACAGCATTAGCAATCGGCTTACAGACCGCAACTTCATTGTTCATCTGCAAAATTAAGCAGAATATATTTTATGAAAAAAAATTGATTGCTGTTTAATGCTAATTATTCATTTTTAATTATTCATAGGATGTGGACATCACTAGCTAAGTTATTGTCCATCCCTTAATTTCCTTTGAGAAGATGGTGGTGAGCTGCTTTTCTGAATGGCTGTAGATTGAGTGGCAGGTACATCCATAGTGTTGTTAGGAAGTAAGACCCAGAATTTTGACTCATGACAACAAAGGAACAGCAAGAAAGTTGGAGGTCAGTATGACGTGTGGTTCAGAGGGGAACCTGTAGGTGGCATTGTTCCCATGAATTTGCTTCTTAGTGATAGAGGTTGCTTGTTTGGAATATGCTGTTGAAAGAGCCATGAGTTGCTGCAGATTGTCTTGCACATGGCACACACTAAGCTTTGCTAGTGGAGAATGTAAATATTTAAGGTGGTGGATGGCAGGCAAATTGAGCATTAGCTTTGTCCTGGATAGTTATAGAGATATAGAGCTGAGACTTAAGTCTTTTTGGCTCTCAGTTTGTTGAGTTTCATTGGGGAGTTTCTTGCTGCAAGGTCTAGCGAACTTTCGTGTCATGCCTTACCAAACTCACCACATTATCGGCATACTGTGTCCCATGGCATTCCTCTTGCCTGATTCTAATTCTAATCCCATGGGCTATACTGCCTGGATATCCATCAAAAAACATGCATCCCTGCTGCCAGTGCCATTTTGAAAAGGCCATTGAACATCTGGATGAACACTGCTGTCTGAAGCTGCCCTGCTCAATGACAGACATTCATTGAAAAGACATCAGACAAAGGAAAATTATTCTCTCACATGAAGTCCTGGTGGACAGGGTAATTAACAGGAGCATCGTCCTCTTCCTGGAGGACTGGCAGAGAAGGCCATGCCAGCAGACCCGAGCGGCTTATTTCAAGGTCAATACCCAGGTCACTGCCATCTCCATATCTGGTGGAATGGCCAGCAATGTTGCAAGAAGATCAGTGACCTACTCTGTTCCACTGGGGTAATGTCATACTTTTGTCTCTTTTGTATTAATTCACAGGATGTGAATTGGTTAGGCCACCATTTACAGCCCATCTCTAATGGCCCAGAGGGCAGTCAAGAGTCAGCCACATTTCTGTGGGTTTGGAGTCTGTGGAATCACATGTAGGCTAGACCAGGTGAGGATGGCATTAGTGAACTAGATAGGGTTTTCTGACAATCGACAATAGATTCATGGTAGTCATTACAGTCTTAACTCCAGATTTTTAATGAATTCAAATTCCACCATCTGCCGTGGCAGGATTCGAACCTGAGTCACCAGAACATTACTTGGGTCTCTGGATTAACAATCCAGTAATAATATCACTAGGCCATTACCTCCCACTGAGTCTGCTACCTCACACTAACTGTTTCATGGCACCCACCTCCCACCAAGGCTCATGTTCTGCCACTCTATCGCCTGCAACATCTTTTTTCATTTGCCCACGTTTCCTCATCAACCTCCCACTACACTAACCCTGCAGGGCCTCGATGCAGCATACTCACTTGTTCAGGACACCTCACCAACTTTCAACCAACTGCACCAGCACTAACAGCTGGGGCACCCTCTTTTGTTTCACTCAAATATACTCAAGTCAAGGAAGGTCCACTTGCTCTGGCAAAAATCTCCTCAATATGTCAGAACAGACTAGACACAAACACCTCACCAAACCTTCAGGGGCAAAAGGTTCCATTGCCAAGCAGGCTACCTCCATCCCAGCTGTAGAACCTAGGACAATAATGTGATGCGGTGGAGGGAAAGAAAGAAACAAACCTTTTGAGGACACTTTGGTGGCCTAGGGGACAGTGCACAGTATAAAAAAGTAGCATTGTTTGCACTGTATGTTATTTTAGTTGTTTTACAATTCATGTGTTTGTTTGACTCCCTGCGTAGCCCCAAATACAACTCTGCCAGCCTGATGCATAACTTCATGTCCATACATGATTTACCATAGTCAATGTTGAGAGGCTGCTGCAGCCTTTGGAAGCAAGATGAACACGATGTAAATAGGGCAATGTTTTCTGCTTTCACCGTTACCCCTCACGGTCAAACATCTCCATTTCTTCCCAGTCTCTGTGCACAAAGGTATTGGTCTGAATGCAGTGGTTTGCAATATATGGGGCAAGGAGAAGCACAGAACACAGGGAACCAACTTATTTGCTTTGCTAGGGATTAGGGAAGCCATAGGCTAGTTTCTGTACAGTGCAGGAGTCTGTGTGTAATGTTCTTGCTCTCTGAAGAGCCTCACAATGATGGGTTCTCCAACCGTCTCCCTCACAGGTTGAGACACTTACCCTACACACTCAGTGTGGTCACAGTCATTTTCATTCCCATTGCATAGTTCTGATTTCCAGCACGATGGAGAGTGACAGTGAATGGTCTTCAGGCAGTGGTTTCTACATTCTGTCTCTGTGTCAGTGAGGCCTAGATATCCAGATCTCCTTCCTCACAGCTCTTCCTGTGAATCGCAGAAGCTTCATACCTCCCCACATCCCCAAATGAGCCTGCACCTGACAATCATTTCCTCACAGCCCCTGGCATATGAGGTGACCAGGCCAGGTATAGTCATACATTGTTCCTCTACGCTTCCACTTCCTTAAAGCCAGGGTGTTCCTGACCACAGATGAAGTCCCCCTCCATATTATCCCATTCCTGCCTATGGTTTACCACATCTCTCCCTTACAAATATAGTTGCCCCTTTCACAATTGTCATCCCCCAGCCTGCAGTCCCCAATCTCCATGAATAGGCTCCTAAGTCTCCCTGCAGACGGCATGGCTCCCTTGTCCATCATACCTTCCTTTCCACTAGTCTTTCTAGATGGAGATGATGGCGTGACCAAGGCCTGCCCCTTTGAGCAAAATAATTGGATAGCCCTGGTTGCGATGTGCCCTTACTGCTGGCTGTACATTTTCCCAACTGCATTAGCCCTACCTCTGGACTGGCCACTATGGAGCCACAGGACAGTCTGTGACCCACACGCTGACCTATAGAGGTACAGATCCTCTCACAGAGAACATCCCGACCAGATGTTTGACCGTGGCAATCCCTTGGACTGGTATTAGAGGCTGCCCTCAACTTATTGTGCCAGGACCTCCTGACTGCTGGGTGCCTCCATGGACCTCAATGAGCACTATGTCACTAAAACTATGAAACATGGCTGCCTGCTGACTGTGCATGCCATTTGTTCCCTGTGTACACTGCTGGCACATAGTATGAGATTGACATTGCACTCTGCCATAGACCAAGATATCTACCTCCCTGGCTGAGGAATGCTGATCAGCAAAGCAAGCTCCAAGATTGTGTGATGCATAATTTCGCATGGCAAGGATCGGCAAAGCAGGAACACTGTGCACACAGATAGGTGCTAAAAGAGCAGTGAGCTTTCCTGAGATGCATGTGGTCCATTTTGGGAGTTGGGTACCTGGCCCTGCACATAAAGTGTCTTTTCAGTAGCCTTTCAATACTAGTTGTTGCTATGTCCTGCAATGCAGGTCTACACTTCCTAATTGTCCTACAAGTGGGTTTGAGAGGTGCTATAAGGATTCAATCAATCTCAGATGCCAAAGTCCTTGAACAAGGGTTGTGTGTGGTTCATCGCCATTGACTATGCCCAGAGATGCTGTTGTGTGTTGAGCAACTTGGAGGCTCTTCTGAGCTGGCAGCGAGCCAAAATCCCCAGGTACCCACCCTGACTTCCATGTGGAGCATTCCAGGCATTAAATTTGTTTGCAGAGGGTATACCCTGTATTTCCTAGGGTCCTACTACATGTTATACACTTCCTTGCCTTGTTGGAATTCACAAAATGCATCACCTCGCACTTTTGTGGATTAAATTCCATTTGGCACTGTTCTGCCAACCTGACCAGCCGGTCTATATCATCCTATAGTCTAAGGCTTTCCTCTACTGCACTGCCAAATTTAATGTAATCTGCAAACTTACTGATCGTATCTCCTACATTTGTATCTACTTCATTAACTTATACTACCATCAAGGGACACAGCACCAAATCCTGCACTGGACACAGGCTTTCAGTCACAATTACAACGTTTGACCATTACACTTTGCCTCCTGCCACTAAGTTTTGGAACTTGTTTCACATATTGCCCTGAATTTCATGGGCTTTAACCTTCTTGACCAGTCTCCAATACAAGACCTTGTCAAAAGCTTTGCCAAATTCAGTGTAGACTCATCAATGGCACTACTCTCATCTAGATACCTAGTAGCCTCTTCAAAAAAACTCGATCAAACCAGTCAGACATGATCTCCACGCTGACCAAACCATGCGGACTATTCTTGATTAGTTCATGCCTCCATTAAATTCTTTTCCAAACATTTGCCTACAACTGATGTTAGATTCATTGATCTATTTTTCTCTGGCTTATCTCTACCACTTTTTTGAATAATGGTGCCACATTAGCTATCCTCCAGTCCTCTAGCACCCCTCTTGTGGCCAGAGAGAGTTTGAAAATTAATGTGCCTCCCACACCTGGCATACATCTCATCTGGAGTTGAGGACTTATTGAATTTTAAACCGGCTAAAACCACTTATACCTGCTTGCATAAACTGTAATTTGTTCAAATATATCACAGTACCCCTTTATTTCTATACCTAAATTGTTTTTCTCTATAATCAATACACATGCAAAATATTCATTTAAATCTCACCTACATCTTCTGGTTCTTTCCCACTTTGGTTCCTAGGGGCCTTACTCTTTGCCTGGTTATCCTCTTAACCCTATTTCACTTATAAAATGCCTTTGGATTTTATCAACCCACCATACACACACAACAGCTGCAAGGATGTTGGTCATGGTTCAAGTGCAACCCATCTGACTTGCACAGATCCCAATCTCCTCAGAAATGGACCCAGTGATCCATGATCACAAACCCTCCTGGTAGCACCTCTTTGGCCATGCATTCATCTGCTTGATCCACTCATTCTTATACTCACTAGCATATGACATGGGGAGTAATTCGGAGACTACAAACTTTGAATTCTTGCTTCTCAATTTGCTACCTGGCTCCCTAAATTCTTGTTGCAAGATCTCATTTTTCTTTACATGTACATTATTGGTACCAATGCGAACCACCTCCTGTGACAATTTGCCCGCCCTATTCAGAATCCCCTGCAGCAATTCAGTGACATCCTTTGCCCTGGCCTTGATGGGGCACCCCACAATCCTGGAGTCATGTCTGCAGCTGCAGGAGCTCTTAATGCAGGTTTACAAGAATGATATCTGGACTTCAGGGTTAAATTCTTAGGAGAGATTATACAAATTAGGTCTGATTTCTATAGAATTTAGACGAGTAAGGGAAATCTGGTCAAGTCTTCGACATCATAACTGGAGAAGACACAGTAGATAGAGATAAACTGGTAAAAACTGATGAAATAATAAACTTCCACAGGTTAGAGATTATAGAATTAGGGGACATAGTCTAAAATTTAGGGCCAGACCGATCAGGACAGATGTTAGGAAGCACTTCTACACACAAATAATTGTAGATGTTTGGAAATCTCTTCCACAAATGGCAGTGGATGTTAGATCAGTTGTTAATTTTAAATCTGAGATAGATACATTTGTTAAGCAAAGGAATTAAGAGATATGGGCTAAAGGCAATTATATGGAGTTAGGCTACATATCAGCATGAGCTCACGGAATGGCAGAGCAGGCTCGAGGGGCTGAATGGCCTACTCCTGTTTCTACGTTCATCTCTTTTTTTCTCCCCATTGGTGGAGCTGGACTCTGGTTGCACTTCCAACACATAAAAACTGTTCTCGAGTGAAATGCACTCTGGGGCTCTGCCATCCTTCTTCTGACTGATGGTCATCCATTCCATCCCTGACTTCACTTTCTTATGCTGTGGAGTGACCACATCTAAAAACATGTTCTCTACATAATCTTCAGCCTCACAGATGCACTGCTGTGTCTCCATCCAATGCTTAAGCTCCAAAATCCAGTGCTCAAGCTGATCAAACTGGTGGCACTTGTTGCAGATGTGGTCATCCAGACTGCCAGGAGCATCTAAGACTTCCTACATTACTGCAGGCAATGCAGTGCACAGTACGTTAAATTAAATTACTCTTTACCAAAATATAAGCCAAGGAGAAAATAATAACTAAGTTTCTTGTGTTACTAACTCTGAACTGTAGATTAGCACATTTACTGTCAAAACACTTCAGCTCCTGTGCCTATAAATTCTTTATTTCTCTATGCTGTTTCAGAAATTTACATTTTTCTAAATTTTTGGGATTGAAACACAATCCTCATAGCAACCGCTCAAACCCATTGACTCACACTTTCCAGTGATAGCATTCCCACACTTTTTTCAAACTCAGCCAAGCAGTTCAGGTCAGGGATCCCATGCTCCTTCAAATCCTGTCAACCCCAGAGGTTAACAGAAAGGCTCTGAGCCACAGTTCTCTTTATTCAGAGCCCCAAAATATGCTCCTATGCAGATCCACCTCCTCCCACCCCAGAAAGTAAAAATAAGCGCTGAGCCTTGGCCCTCTTTATTCACATTCCCAGAATGTGTTCCCATGCAGGTCCAACTCCTCCCACATCCAGAAGGTCCACCACTGATCTGTCTGCTTCTGGGTCTTCACTTCACTAGCTACTCTGAGTGATCCTGTCTTGGAGCCCTCACCTCACTTGATTCTTTCCAAGATAGTGTTGGTATTCTTTAGTGTTGTTGGAGCTGCCCTCATCCAATCCAGGTAAGTAGAGAGCATTGCATAACACTCCTGACCTATGCATTGTAGAATGAGGACATGCTTTAAAATATTAGGATATGAGTTACATAGAATTGCCAGCCTCTGATCCTTTATTGTAGTTGCAGTATTAATGTGGCTCATCCAGTTCAGTTTCTAGTCTGGATCTAAGTGGCCATAGTGGAACCCATCTGACTGTCAGTGAGATGGTTATTGCTAAGCAAGCGCCACTTGACAGCACTAATGACACCCGCTTCCAGCATTCTGCAAGTAATCGAGAGTGGACTGTTGGGGCAGTAATTATGCAAGTTACATTTGTCCTGTTTTTATAGACACGACATATATTGGACAATTTTCCACATTGTCTGTGGATATCAGTGTTTTAGCTGTACTAGAAAAGCTTACCGAGGGAAGCAAGTCTATGGTGTGATTTAATACTGAAGAACTTGTGCCCGTTTTCCTATTGTAAAATGGGCACAAAGAGGGCCAATTTTGGACAGCAATGTCACACATCCTGAGGATGTGTCAAAAATATCCAACCAGATATGAGATTGGGCCATTTTTCAGGTGTTCTCAGTGACTGCATAAAACAGGATTATGTAAGTAAGTGTGCTCAGCTCTGATGGAAATTTGATTCTGATTAAGAGGAGCTGGGCTTAATCCATACAGGATTCTCATCAGAAGCCAGGCCTGAGGAAAAACCAGCAAACCTAGGAAATTATACAAACTGGGCTGATCTGCCTTGTGTACCTGCAAATGGAACTCCAGTATGATGAATACATTCATTTCACAGTTTTAGTGTTTTTTTACAGTTTATTCCCAGCAGGATCAACAGCAGAAACCTGGTCTGCTGCAGTCAGGATCCCTCAATGGTGAAGCTGAAGCTACCAACAAGAGATCTTTTTACATATAAAACTTTAAAAATAACTTCCTTAATGTGCCAGGAGTATCAGGGTATCCTTGACTTTACAGTATCATTGAACAATACATTGCACATTACATCTCCTTCCCTATTGCATCCATTTTCTACTCCAGTCCCACAATTTGCACCACAAATGTTCCCCACAAACAGGTTTAATCAAAACATATGGGAGCATCAGCTACAATGGAAATAACAATAAAAAGATGATGGAATAGGTAAAAATTATAAAAGTGGCAAGATTGTTAATGAAATGACAGAAACAAGAGACAAAAACAAAAAAAGAAATTAAAACTACTAAAGAGCAATAAATTCATTGTGAATAAATAAACTTACAAAATGATTCTGACCAATCCTGCTTTGATCCTTGTCACACAAAAAAGTATTTTGAAATAGGTTACCTTATGTAATTCAGTGCTAGCGAGTTAGAATCACACTAAATTGATAACTTATGAGGAGCTAGCAAACATAAATCAAATCTATTTGAAAAAAGATAAACTTTCCACAAATGTAACATAAGCATAACAATACTCACAGCATCCTCGATCCATTCTAAATATTCAGTAATGTAGCCAACTACAGTCTCGCAGTAATTATACATTTCCTAGGAAACAAATGCATTTTTAAAAATGCCATCATTACATGAAAGAAAAATTTGCATTTATATAGACTGTTATGATCCCAATTGATGTCACCACTGTTCAAGTCAGATCCCAGATTAAGTCATATTTCATCACTGAAACATAAGCACAGAAGGCTTCAGATTTGATTTTAACAAAAAAAGTTTAGTCCACAAAAAAATAAAAGTAAAATAAATCAAACCAGACTATCTACATAGGATTGTTCGAAAGATTTCAAAACGTGCACCAAAACAAAATCCCATCTATTCAGTAACACCACCACTTTACAGTTAATCAAAACCACAGATAATTCATTTCCCTATCAAATCTGTCAATTTGACCTGACTGTACTTCTCAGTTCTGGTTCTGCGAGTTGTGAAGCCTTTTCCTTGACACTGAACTCTTAGGCTTTCTCAACCGTAAATAATAAGCAGAGTTCTAACAAATACGCCTGTTCTGAAAGTTTTCACAGACTGCAACTCTTAAACTAAGTTAACTTATTTTGTTAACTGATTTGAACAACCTCCTTTTCTAGGAGATACTATACTTGTATCCGACTTCAGTTTGCATTCCTTTGAAAAGCTCTTGAACTAAATTAGAAATACAGGTACAGGATTAGACCATTCAGCCCTTTGAGTCTTTTTGATCTTGGATGATCAAACACTTCAATGCAATTTACCCACATAATTCACATAATTATTTACGGTACTGGTAACCTACTTAACATAAATCGAGGTCTAGCTTCCACAGTCCTTTTGAGTAGAGAATTCCAAAGATTCACAACCCTCTGTGCAAAATAAATTCTCCTCATCTTGGCCCTAAACAACTTCCCCCTTATTTTTAAATTGTGTCCCTGGGTTCTAGACTACCGAACCAGGGAAACATCTTATCTGCATCTGCCCTATCCATCCCTTACAGGAATTGGGGAATTTAAAATGGAGAACAACAAAATGGCTGATGAGTTAAATTCATACTTCGCTTCTGCCTTCACAAAGGAGGACATGAAAACGTACCAGAAATAATGGGTAACACAGGGTTTAGCAAGAGGGAGGAGCTGAAGCCAATCTGTATTAGTAGAGAAATTATGTTGAAGAAATTGATGGGATTGAACACTGATAAATCCCCAGGGCCTGATAACCTACAACCCAGAATGTTTAAGGAAGTGGCCGTAGACTATAGTGGATGCATTCGTGTCCATCTTCCAAAATTCTTTAACCTCCGGAATGTTTCTACAGCTAATATAACCTCATTAAGTGTTGATAAGTGTGAGATCATCCATTTTGGTAGGAATAACAGCAAAATGGACTATGTTTTAAATGGTAAAAATTGCAGCACGCTGCTGTGCAGAGGGACTTGGGTGTCCTTGTGCATGAATCGCTGAAGGTGGGATTGCAGGTGCAGCAGGTGATTAAAAAGGCAAATGGAATTTTGTCTGCCATTGCTCGAGGGATGGAGTTTAAAAACAGGGAGGCTATGCTGCAGCTGTAAAGGGTCCTGGTGAGGCCACACCTGGAGTACTATGTGCAGTTTTGGTCTCCTTACTTGAGAAGAGATATACTAGCACTGGGGGGGGTGCAGAGGAGATTCACTCAGTTGATTCCAGAGTTGAGAGGGTTGGATTATGAGGAGAGACTGAGTAGACTGGGATTATACTCATTGGAATTCAGAAGAATGAAGGGAGATCTTATAGAAACATATAAGATTATGAAGGGAATAGATAAAGTGGAGGCAGGGAGGTTGTTTCCGCTAGCAGGTGAAACTATAGTGGGCATCGCCTCAAAATAAAGGGAAGCAGGTGTAGGACTGAGGTCAGGAGGAACTTCTTCACCCAAAGGGCTGTGAATCTGTGGAATTCCCTGCCCAGTGAAATGGTTGAAGTTACCTCACTGAATGTTTTTAAGCCAAGGCTAGATAAATTTTTGAACAGTAAAGGAATTAAGGGTTATGGTGAGTGGGCGGGTAAGTGGAGCTGAGTACCAAAAAGATCAGCCATGATCTTATTAAATGGCGGGGCAGGCTCGAGGGGCCAGATGGCCTACTCCTGCTCCTAGTTCTTATGCTCTTATGTTATTATTTATAAAGGAAAGCAGAGAGAAAACAGGGAAATGTAGACCAGTGAAAGAAGTCGGTAGTGAGAAAGATGGTAGAGTCCATTATCAAGGAGCTTTAAGGCAGGGCACTTAGAAAATAGCAGTAGAATCAGATACAGTCACCATGAATTTACAAAAGGAAAATAATACTTGACAAATCTATTGGCATTCTTCGAGCTTATAACTAACAGGGTTGATTGGGGGAACCTATGGATGTTGTTCATTTGGACTTTCAGAAGGCTTTTGACAAAGTACCTTGTAAGAGATTAATTTACAAAATTAAAGTGCATAGAATTGGTGGTAGTGATTTGAGATGGATACAAAATTGGTTAGGAGACAGGAAACAAACAGAAATAAATGAATCTTTTTTCTGAATGGTAGTCTGTGACCAGTGGGATACTGCGGGGATCAGAACTAGAACCCCAGCTATTCACAAAGTATGTTAAAGATTTAGATGAGAATACCTCAAAAATTTGCAGTTGACACAAAGTTGGGTACAAGGGTGAGGTGAGAGGAGGATGCAGAGATATTGCAGCGTGATTTGTTCAAGCTAAGTGGGCAAATGGATGGCAGATGCACTTTATGTGAATAAATGTGAAGTTATTCACTTTGGTAGCAAAAGTAGGAAGACAGATCATTATTTAAATGGCTGAAAATTGTGAGAGGACCATGTTCAATGAGACCTGGGTCTCCTCTTGGGTTCTCCTGTCACTAAAAGTAAGCTTACACGTACAGCAGGCAGTTAAGATGGCAAACTGTACATTGGCCTTCATAGGGAGAGGATTTGAGTACAGGAACAAGGATGTCCTGTTGCAGTTATACAGGGAATTAGTGAGACCATACTAATTAGTGAGACCGAATCTTATGTGCAATTTTGGTCTCCTTATCTGTGGAAGGATGTTCTTTCTATAGAAAGAGTGCAGCAAAGGTTTACCAAATTGATTCCTGGGATAGCAGGACTGACTTATGAGGAGTTATGGAGCCAGCTAGGTCTGTATTCACTGGAGTTTAGAAGAATTGGGAAATCTCTAAATATCTATAAAATTCTAACAAGACTAGACATGTTAGATGTCAGAAGGATGTTCCCAATGATGGGGCAGCACAGAATCAGGGGTCATAGTTTAAGGATGAGGGGTAAACCTTTTGGGACTGAGATCAGGAAAAATTTCTTCACCCAGACAGTGGTGAGTCTGTGGAATTCACTCCCACAGAAAGTGGTTGAGACCAAAACATTGTGTTTCAAGGAGGAGGTAAATATAGCTCTTCTGGCTAAAGGGAGCAAAGATAATGGGGGGAGGGTGGGATTAGGGAATTGAGCTCGATGATCGGCCATGGTGAGATTGAATGGTGAAGCAGAGTTGAGGGTTGAATGGTCTACTCCTCCTCCCATTTTCTATGTTTCTAAGTTTATCAAGTCTGCTTGTTATATTTTCAAAGAGCTTCAACAAATTTGTCAAACATGATTTCCCTTTCCCTTTGACTGTCTGATTGCATTCAATGTTTCTAAAAGCTATTTCTTCCTTAATAATACACTTCAGCATTTCCCCAATGATAGATGTTCAGCTAACTGCCTGCCTATGCTTTGTTGCTTTCTGTCTCCCTCTCTTCTTGACAGGAAGATTACGTTAGTGGTTTTCTAAACTGTTTGCACCCTCCCAGAATCCAATGTGTTCTGGAATATTTTGACCAATGTCTCTGCTATCTCTGCAGCTGCTTCCGTTAAAAACCTTGGATGCAGGCCATCAGATCTTGGCAACTTGTCTGCATTTAGTGCCATTAGTTTGTCAAATAATTTGTTCCTCGTGATAGAGAATGTTACATGATCTTTTCTCCCATTAGTACCTTGCTTTATTGCTATCTTTGGGGTGTTTATAGTATCACCTACTGTGAAGACTGATGCAACTGGTTTAAATTATCTGGTGTTTCCCTGTTCTTGATTAACAATTCTCCAGTTACATCCTCCAAGGGTCCCATGGTTACTTTGCCTACTCCTTGTTCTCTTTATATGCCCATATTCCTGATATTTGAAATTATATTTCTTGCCAATTTACTTTCATAATCAATTTTCTCCCACTTCATTAGATTTTTAGTCATCCACTCCTAGTTTCTAAAAAAGACTCCCAAACCTTTGGCATCTACCATTGGTTTTCTTCACTTTGTACTCCTTAGCTTTAGATTGGATACTCTCCTTGGATCGCCTTTGTTAGCCACGGGTGTTCCATCTTTCTCATCAAGTCCTTTTTGACCAGAGTAAATTTTTGTTGAGCATTATGAATTATCTGCCTAATGCCATCCACTGCTCATCCACTGGCTTTTCCCTTTGTCTATTTTCCCAGCCATTTTAGATAACTTTTCGTACCTTTTCATAATTGTCTTTATTTAAATTGAGGACACTGATGGGAAATCTGATTTGCTCTCCTTCAAACTGAATTTGAAATTCTGCCATGATGTGAGTTCTACCTCCTATAGGATCATCAACTACATGTTCTGTTATGAATCTGACCTCATTATTCATTATTAGATCTAAAATCCTGGGTAGGTTCTGCAACTGCTCCAAAAACAATCCTGATGTACTCTAAGAATTTATCTTCTGTGTCATCTTTGCCAGTCTGATTTGTCCAATCAATATGCAGGTTAAATTACCCATGACAACTGTAGTGCCCTTCTTAAATGCTTCCACTATTGCCGAATTTATACTTTGTCACATAGCAATTCTTCAGGGACCTACGGTTCACTCCCACCATGACTGTTTTCCCTTGTTATGCCTTATTTCCACCCAAACTGATTCATGATCTATTGTATCTATATTACTAATCACCATACACTGATATCTTAGTTTATTAACAAAGATACGTCACCTCCTTTCCTTTTTTGCTTATTCTTCTGGAACATCACATACCCTAGATTTCCCCGTTTTGGTTGCCCTATAAACACATCTCCATAATAGTCAACAACAGGAACAAAAACTTTCTACCTACGAGATAAATGCATTGACAGACTCCCCCAACCTAAATTCTGGATCCCAAAACCTGTCTCATTCGCAGTAACACCCTCTTGCTGTTGACCACAGACCAAATTTGATGTGATTAATCTAAGGGCTGTGACTGCCTCCTGAAACAGTCCCCTCTGTAACATGTCGCAGTGTCTGAAGCTCAAACTTCAACTCATCAACTCTGAGCTGAAGAACCTTGAGCAGCCAACATTTGCTATTACCAGTCACTGTGCACCCACTGACATCCTCCAGCTCCCACATATCATAGGTGCAACACATGGAGGCCACAAGGTCGCTGTGGAGAAATGGCAGGAAGGGTGGGAGGGGACACAAAGGGAACAGGGGGAGAGATGGGGTGAAGCAGAAGGGCAATGTGAAGATACAGGGGACTGCAATGTGGTGAGTGCAAAATGGAGAGCTGTAATGTGGATTTAGGGAAATTGGGGCCTCAAGAGGGCTGTGAATAGAGAGGGGAGCCACAAAGCACTGTAGGGAGACAGGGGCCCTACAAGGGAGAAACAGAGAGCTTTCAAGTAGGTGAGCTAGAGATAGACTGCAAGCGGGTCGGGGCAGATAAAGGTGCTGAGAAGTGGCTGAGGAGATAGAGAGGGGTGCAAGCGAGCCAGGGGACTTTAAGTGGTCAGTGATAAACAGGAAATCCATAAGTAGACCAGGAGGGAGAGACAGGGTAATTGAAAGGAGGCTGGAGGGGTGGGGTGGTTGTAGGTAACAGCAAGATGCTTAGGGGGAGATGGGGAGACTGCAAGGGAAGTGGTGAAGATTGAGAGGCTGCACTGTGGGTGGGAGAGAAAGAGGAAAGCAATAAGGGTGGGAGAGATAGGGAGGCAGCAAGGGGTGAGTAGATGGAGGCTGCAAGGGCAAGAAAAAGAGAGAGATGCTGCAAAAATGTGAACAGTTTCAAATCTATTAACAAAATAAAATGCAGCTAACTAAGAAATAAGGAAACCAGATATCTCCGAGCTAATGAATTAGATGGACATGAATGAGTAACCCTAACCCTGATGCACCTTAATACAACATATGTTAGGGAGCCACTATGATTAAAAAAAATGAAATGGATGTCTTTGCAATGAACATTATCAATTGTTAAATTTAGATCTGAGATGCAGTAAGAAAGCTAGTAACTGGCTGGTTAAAATATTCTAGCTTTGTCCGTGTGAGCCTGAAAAAAATATGAAAGATGTGCTTAGGGTGATGGTTTTTGTGTGTAAAAGTGTAAGTCAGTTAATTTGAAAAGAAATCTTTGTTGACAATTTATGCTCGTTGTTTGGACCAATTTAAATGCTGTTGGGTCGAGGGAATTAATGCTTTCCCTGTGTGTTGTAGTTTTAGTTTACTGCAGGTCAGATAGTGTTCTTTGAATTCCGTTTCTCTGTGAGTCCAAATGCTCCATATATCAACACAAATATAAGGATATTACTATGTGACTTTATTATCTAATAAGGAATTTAGTGAGAGTGTAAAGTAGCCCTCAAAACTAAAATGTAGCCCTTGAAAATCAAAAAATTGCCCTCAGGAGGAACCCTCAAAGCAACATCTTGTGACCTGATACAGATGCCTTTCATGACTTCAGGATGCCCCAAAGTGCTTTACAGCCAATAAGGTACTCTTGAATTGTAGTCACTGTTGTAATAGAGTATTAAAAATATGACAATATAAAGCAATTGGCTCTTTTGCTATGTACAAAATGCATTCTATAGAAGTCTATGAAAACATTACCTGCTTTACAATGTCGGTACCATTGTTGTTGATTAGGTACTGAGCGGCTTCAACAGAATTAAGTATACCTCCCACTTTTATCTGTGGAAAAGTAAAAGCAATTGCTTAGAATTACAGAAAAGGAATTGTACAGAAAAAGGCTACTCAGCCCAACTAGCCTACACTGCCACTTCTACTTCACCTGACCTTCCTCCTATCCTTCTCCATCTAACTATTTGTGTAGCAGTCTATTACTTTCTTCGTCATGTATTTATCCAGGTTCCCCTTATACATTTCTATAATTGTTGTCTGAGCTCCTAATGGTAGGAAGTTCGTCATTTGAACCATCCTCTTGTTTAAGAAAAGGTTCTTTGAACTCCTTATTCTATTTATTAGTGACTCCCATTTATGGTCGCTCACTTTCACCTCATAAAGAAAGTTACTTGTTCAGAAGAGTGATAATTGTGTAACTGAATCATACACTATTTTTCCAGGAAAATGGACAGCAGTTAACTTGTCCACTCATGTTTCTACTACCATTCATAAACCAGGAAGGAATATTTTAAGAAAGCCACACTATCCTTCATGCCCACTCTACCAGTCAATAAGATCATGGATGATCTGATCTTGGCTCCATTTTCTTGCCTGTTCCAAAAACCCTCGGCTCCTTTAATAATTGAGTCCCAAATCTTCTGGTTTCTAGATAGTCAAAGGTACATATCACTAGATTTAGATCCAAAAATCTGCATCTGCCTTAAATATATTCAATAACCCAATCTCTGCAAGTTGTGAAGAAAAGAAGCCAAGTGATTCACAACCCTCAGAGATATTCCTGCTCATCTCAGTCTTAAATGGACAAATTCTAATTCTGGAATTATCTCCCATGGATTCCCAAACTATGAGCTTAATATTATTTGTAATTGGCTAAATATTATTTTAATTGACTTTAATGGAGGATTTCTTTCCACAAGGCTGAGTGAGTTTTCTCAAGCTTTCATCCCAAACTCAGGTGCAACGTCCCTATGACATCCCTCTCGCCTGACGTTAACTGGATTTTCCTCCTACTTGCCCTCGAGTGAAGTACTTATCACTAAGTTATCCCAGGATCCCTGGCACTGGTGCCATCTTTGACCTCAAGCTATGCACCTGGGCAAGTGTTGGCTGTCCGAAATTCCCCTTAACCATCAATGCAGTAGCACAGCAGCCACAAAGCAACACTCTCATGCCATGTGGTTGGCAGTGCTGACACATCCTTGCACACAAAAATGCACATTCCTACCCCAATAATTGGTTAAGCACCAGGCCACCCAACTTACCCGTCCTTAGTGACAAACCATCTTCCAACCCTCTAAATCACTGCAACTCTTTCCATAATGCCCAGTATAGGCCAACATCTTATCATCATTCAATGTTGGACCATCAAAAATAGGGAAGATTTCAGTTTAAAACATTCACCAACACCAAAAGTGAACAGAAATCAAACAAACAAAGCTGCATTTGCCTGTTGGAACAGTCGTGGACAGCTTACATGTTGAGCACTAACAATTTGAGTCAATGAGTGATCACTGCACTGCATCTACTGGAACCAGATGTCAATTTAATCCTGTCTGGTTTCAAACGCCAGATGCTGTATCACTCTATCATGCTCAATGTTCTCCTCCTCAGAAGGCTGCTGTTGCTCTACCAACTATTCAGCATCCATCACATCCTCTCCTTGTTTGCTCCAGTTGTGCAGAGCACGGCTTACTGGGATTGCATGGCACACTCTAAATAGGTCTAAATAGGCCAATCCAAGAAGTGGAATCTCATCTTCAGCCTCAGTTGGAGAATGTATACGGAATCAACTGTAGTTGCTGAGGGTAGCCTTTGTACCCTAGTAACCAGCTCAGTAAGGCATCTGGCCCCTCAAATGCAGCATGAACATGAGAGTTCTCAAGGATATGGGCATCATGGCAGCTCCCAAGATACTGAGTGCAAACATCTATGAAGTAGAATTGATTATCACAGATTACTTGTATGTTGATGATATGGAACCCTTTCCATATGATGAACTCAGCTGTATTATGAAATCTCCCAGTGCAAAGTGAGAACACTATATAGTGCCCTTTACCTGGGAGAAGCCAACTATGTTACAGAAATCTGATGGCCAGGCTGCAGCACTCAACTCATCATCAAGAAATAAGATGAAGTGGTGTGATTGAATGCAAATGGCATCAGTACTCAATACCTTTGTTGGTGGACAATTGAGAGTTTCACACATATCCCCCATTGCTCCTTTCAAGCAGCCAATCCCATAAAAGTTAAAGACAGCTATCACCTCCCCAGCCACTTGGATAGGATGGCCATTCAGTCCTTCAGGTCAAAGGTCCTGCTCCAGCAGTTGGCATAGTTCTATGACAGTTTTCTGGGACAGCTTCAGTCTGCAGCAACATTGCGCCTTGCTTCCCCAGAGGAAATGGTATCAATGATGATGAACTCTGGCCCTCCTTATTTCCTGCACGTACTTGGGGGACATATAGCTGCAAGATTTTCTTGGCATTCCCTGGAACTTGTTAATAGACCTGGGTTTAATGGGTGTATCTGTTCCCCTTCCAGTTTTTTGCACGTTTGTTGCATGGCAGCATTAGCAATGATAACCCCTGCTGTGGTTGGATTCATTAGTTACACTTGCAATGAAATTGCATGGGAAACATAAGGAACAGAACACATCCTCAGTAACGTGAACAGTCAGCAGTCACATCATTTACAAATGACAGCTTTGCACACTGCTCCAAAGAATGGGTCATGGAGCACTCCAACAAGGAAGGCCATGGAATGATTCCACAAGGAATTTTAACGTTGGATCTTATTCTGATGAAAATATCTCCCTTCATGCTACGAAGATACAACTGGAGTTTGCAAGTAATACACGACAACTGACCCCTCTCCTTCTAGTCCAATGTTAACCGCGAAGGCCATTACTGTATATGTGAATCTGTTGCGTTATATCTGTACCTATAGATTATGACGAGTGGGAATCAGATCCCTGCGCCTGGGCAGCCTATGATGTCTTGCATTTATTTTGTGCTTTGTGGCCCATTGGGACATTTTTTAATGTCACCTGGGATTACCTGTGCTTCACAGAGATGTTTACCTTCAATCTGCAAGGACCAATGATATGGGTAAGATTTCTTGTGACCAGTTTTACACCTCATACACTTGTACATTGCAAGAACTATACATACACAATAATATGATTGCAAATTACTGCAAACCTGTACTCTGCAAGTGCATGCAACTTTTAAATTCACTCATGGGATGTGGATGTCGTTGGTTGGACCAGCATTTATTGCCCATCCCTAGTTGCCTTTGAGAAGGTGGTGGTGAGTTGCCTTTTTGAACCGTACAGCCCATTTGGTGTTCATACCCCCACAGTGCCAGTAGGGGAGAGTTCCAAGATTTTGACCAAGAGAACTGAAGGAATGACGATATATTTTCATGTCAGGATGGAGAGTGGCTTGGAGAGGAGTTTGCTGGTGGTAGTGTTCCTTGTAGCTACTGTCCTTGTCCTTCTAGATGGTAGTGGTTGTGAGTTTGGAAGATGCTGTCTAAGGAGTCTTGGTGAATTTATGCACAGTGTTTTGTAGATGGCGCATACCACTGCTGCTAATTATCAGTGGCAGATGGACTGAATGTCTGTGGGTGTGGTGCCAATCAACTGGTCTGCTTTGTTTTGGATGGTGATTAACGGTGTTATTGGAGTGGCACCCACATAGGCAAGCAGGATCGCACCCTTGACTTGTGCCTTATAGATGGCGGACAGGCTTTATGGTGTCAGCATTACTCACTGTAAGATTCTTAGCTTTGACCTGTTCTTGTAGCCAGAGTACTTATGAGTCCAGTTAAGTTTCTCATTAACGGTAAACCCGAGGAAATTGATAGAGAGGGATTCAGTGATGGTGATACCATTGAATGTCAAGGGGCAATGGTTAGATTCTCTCTTGTTGGAATTGATCATTGCCTGGTACTTGTGTAACCACTTGCCACTTGTCAGCCTAAGCCTGGATATTGTTCAGATCCATTGCATTTGAACATGGACTGTTTCAGTATCTGAGGCGTCACAAATGGTGCTGAACATTGTGCAATCATCAGTAAACATCACCACTTCTGACCTTATGATGAAGGAAAGATCATTAATGAAGCAGCTGAAGATGGATGGCCAACAGAATGAATTTGAGGCACTCCTGGAGCTGAGCTGACTGACCTCCAACAACCGTAGCCATCTTCCAATGTGCAAAATATGACTCTAAACAACTGAGAGCTTTCCCCTGAATCCCACTGACACCATTGGCTCCTTCATGTCACACTCAATCAATTGCAGCCTTTATGTCAAGGGCAGTCATTGTCACCTTACCTCTGGAATTCAGCTCTTTTCTCAATGCTTGGACCAAGGCTGTATTGAGGTCCGGAGCTGAATGGCCCATGCGGAGCCCAAAACTGAGCAGATTGTTGCTAAGCAAGTCCTGCTCGACAGCACTGTTGATTATACTTTCCATCACTTTGCTAATGATCAAGAGCAGACTGTTGGGGAAGTAATTGGCTAGGTTGGATTTGTCATGCTATTTGTGAACAGGACATAGCTGGGCAATTTTTCACATTGTCAGGTATATGTTAGTGTTGTAGCTCTACTGGAACAGCTTGACTAGTGCAGCAGCAAGTTCTGGAGCACAGGTCATCAGTTCTATTGACAGAATGTTGTCAGGGATCCCAGCCTTTGCACTATCCAGTGCCTTCAACCAGTGTTCTCTATAACATTTTATTCTTCTGCGTAGATCTCCAAGGTCCATGTGCAACAGAATCAGAAGTTAATGTTGTGATCCACAGCAGCACACCATTTGCCATGCACAGAATGTCAAAGCAGCTGCAAGTGCACACAGTTACAGCTTAGAGGGAACGTTGCCTGTTTCTTCATATTACGCAGAGTGAATCGAATTGGTTGAAGACTGAAATCTGTGATGCTGGGGACCTCCAAAGAAAGCTAAAGTTTGTTGCAAATGCTTCAGCTGTATCTTTTGCACTGATATGCTACACTCTCCCATTACAGAGGATTGGAAAGTTTGTAT